GAGGGCCTGCCTCAGCTTCTCCGCGATCTGGAGGGGGAAGGGGAGAAACGTGAGACGGCCGCCCGGTCGGCTCTGTAGGCCGCAGCTGGTCACTGCTAGTCACAACTAGTCATAGCTGGCTACTGCTAGCCACAGCTAGTTACTGCTGGTTACAGCTAGCCACAGCTAGTTACTGCTGGTTACAGCTAGTCATGGCTACTTACTGCTGGTTACAGCTAGTCACAGCTAGTTACTGCTGGTTACAGCTAGCCACAGCTAGTTACTGCTAGTCATGGCTACTTACTGCTGGTTACAGCTAGTCACAGCTAGTTACTGCTGGTTACAGCTAGTCACTGCTGGTTACAGCTAGCCACAGCTGGTTACTGCTGGTTACAGCTAGTCACTGCTGGTTACAGCTAGTCACAGCTGGCCACTTCTCGTCACCGCTCTAGGACTCAGGGATCACCAGAGTTAAGTGCTAAACCCCTGCCTCTCTGGTGGCCGTCCCTTCCATCCCACGGCCCCGCTCTGGCCTGCTGTCAGGGACAGCCTGTGAATGCTCCAAAGGTGCCATGAGTGGCCCACAAGCACAGGCCCCAGGGAGCTGAGGAAACCTGACTCTGCTCCGCATCAGGCCTCCCTCCCTCAGACGAGGGGGGCTGGTGGGGTCCATCCCTTCTTGGACTCCTACCTCACGTAGGGCTGGGCAGCAGGCCACATGCCCTCCACTCCCTGCCTTGTCCCTGTGTCTGTGCAGCACACACTGTTAGCTGTGTCCCATGCTGCTGGTGATTCTGTTTTATAGGAAAGTGACCCCTGGCTCTCAAGTTGAGCAATATACAGCTGTCTATGCTAAAGCCCAGACCTCAGCTGAAAGGACAGGGTTCCGTGTGGTCATTTATGATGGCATTATTAGTGAAATCATTATTCAGAGTTGCCCTTTAAAGGAACACTCGCACCCAACCATGATGGAATGGACTGAGAAATGATGGTACATTCACACAATGGAATATTAGGCAGCACACAGGTGCAATGACTTTGCAAATTACTGGAGAGCATTACGCTGAGTGAACTAACTCAGTCCCACAAGGACAAATACTGTGTAAGACCATGATTGTAGAATGAGTATGCAGGTCCAAGTGGGGGAGGTGCTTAATCATGGGGTTGCACAATGTGATGGCTGGAGGGAGGGGTGGGTCCATCACTCAAGGGGGCACAGGACCGGACCACAGCACAGAGGAGGGAGATGCTGGGCCGTGGTGGTCAGTGCACGCTCAGATGGAAGGTTACGACTTCAGGTTTCTGGGTCCCTGTTTCAACGTCACAGGCCCTTCTTTCCCATCTACTCCAGTGACCACAGACATGCTGGACAGAGGACCAATGCAGCCACCTGCCATCACTGTCCTCCGTCTGAATGGACGTCCTGACATGTCCTCTCACTTTCCACTGTCCTCTGTGGGGCCTTGTTGACACAAAGGCCTGTGGTGTCCTGCACAGTGCCAGGCACTGGCCCCTGACAGAGCAGAGGACAGAGAGGCCGTGACAGGGACAACAGTCACACAATGAGGACTTCTTGGGGCCTGAAGACAGGAGCTGAAACCCCTCCTTAAAAAGGAATTTAAGGAGGAGCTCTGGTGGCCTAGTGGCAAGGAGCTGCAACTACAATCCCAGGGGCACACGGTTCAAATCCACCAGATGCTCTGCCGGGGAAGGAGGGACAATCTCCTCCTGTACCAGTCCGATCTGATTTGACGGTACACGCACACAAAAATAAAATAAAATAAAAAAAAGGGAATTAAAAAAAATCCCATTGTTTTTAAAAAAGGCAGAATAAATGAGCACATGCCAGGGTGATCTGACCGCTGTGCCCCTCGCCCCCTGCCCCTCCCCCCGCGTGCTCACCGTCTCGTAGAACTGCACCTGCTGCTCCAGGTAGAGGCGGATGACGCTGTTGTAATCATAGATCCGGTTACTGTGGAAATGGTTCATCTCGGCTGCAACCAGAATCGGGACAAGAGTGAGGCCCCAGGCTCCCCATACCATGCGGACTCCCGGCTGGCTGGGGTCAATCCTCCGTCCTGACCAGAAGCTGGTGGCTTCAGTGGTACCAGGTCCTGGCAAGCCACTTTGCCAAGGGACGAGGAGACAGTATGGTAACCCAGCACTTTCTCGCAAAGACGACTGTCATTGTATCCTAAACACCTTGAAACCCATGGCTGTGGAGCACCCGCGAGTCAGAACCGACCCACAGCTGACCCTCCAGGGTTTTCACAGGCAGTAAATCTCATGGGAGGAGACTGCCCGTCTTTCTCTAGTTGAGCAGCTGGTGGACTCGAACTGCATAGCTCAGGGTTGCCAGCGCAACTCCTTACCACTAGGCCAGACTGTTGTTGTTATTGCATACTGACAAGGAGACCTGGTGGTGCAGTGCATGAAATACCGGGCTGCGGCTTGAATTCACCATCTGCTCTGCGGGAGAAAGAGGCGGCTGGCGGCTTCCACAGACTCTGTGAAGATTCAAGCCTCAGCACCTGGTGCAGCACGTCTGTCCTGTCACTGAGGTCACGTCTGCCTGTCACAGAGGGTCACGCCTGTCCTGTCACTAGGGTCACGTCTGTCCTGTCACAGAGGGTCAGGTCTGCCCTGTCACAGAGGGTCCCATCTGCCTGTCACAGAGGGTCAGGTCTGCCCTGTCACAGAGGGGCACGTCTGCCCTGTCAGAGGGTCAGGTCTGTCCTGTCAGAGGGTCACGTCTGTCCCGTCACAGAGGGTCATGTCTGCCTGTCACAGAGGGTCACGTCTGTCCCGTCACAGAGGGTCACGTCTGTCCTGTCACAGAGGGTCACGTCTGCCCTGTCAGAGGGTCGCGTCTGCCCTGTCACTGAGGGTCGCGTCTGTCCTGTCACTGAGGGTCGTGTCTGTCCTGTCACTGAGGGTCACGTCTGCCTGCCACTGAGGGTCACGTCTGTCCTGTCAGAGGGTCACGTCTGTCTTGTCACAGAGGGTCACGTCTGTCTGTCCCAGAGGGTCACGTCTGTCTGTCCCAGAGGGTCACGTCTGTCACAGAGGGTCACGTCTGCCTGTCACAGAGGGTCGTGTCTGTCCTGTCAGTGGGTCACGTCTGTCCTGACACAGAGGGTCACGTCTGTCCTGTCACAGAGGTCACGTCTGTCCTGTCACTGAGGGTCACGTCTGCCTGTCACTGAGGGTCACTGCGAGTCGGATGCCCTTGATTCCGGGTCTGCACTAGCAGTTATAACACGTCTACAAGGCTGCCTTCTGACTCCCAGTCCATCACTCCGGGACTGAATCAAGCACAAGGACACGTACGGACTGTAACAGTTACACAGGGAACCTCCTTCTCTCAGAAATAACAGTGAGCCATTCAAACAGTCGGCCATTCTGTGCTGTGCTGGCCACAGATGCCGAGAGAGTAAACAGACATTATGGGTTTTCACAACACGGGAACAGGGCCTCCAGAGAAGAGATTACACTGGCTCTTAGTTTCCTGTTGTTCACAGGTGCACGTCGAGACTCTCCTGGGAGGAGACGTCTGCAGGGCCTCTCTCACGTCCGTGGTCTTACCCTGCAGCGCGTAGGACATGGTGCCAACCCGCTTCACCATGGTCTGCTTGTCCTGCGGGGTGATCTTACTGGCGGCCACCAGCTTATCACTTTCTTTCACTTTCTCTATTGCTCCCTGTGAAACAGAAAAGGCGAATGGTGTTCATACAACAAGGCCAAGAGGGTCAGCCACTGGTTGCAAACAGAACAAGGCTAACGTGTTCTATAACTGACCTGCTACTGAACAGGAAATGTCCCTGCAATAAGAAGCAAAGAAGCATCTAAACTGAGTTTCCTTCGAGTCACTTGGAAACAAAAGCTAAGTGACGGAACAAAGCTAACAGCAGGTAAGCGTACACTTAGTTTTATGCTCCCACCAAAGAGCAGAGCGGACAGCAGGCGATCTGTGGGACAGGGCGTGGGACTGCCACTGCGGTAGGTAAGGGCCTCGGAGGTGTGGCGGGCACTGAGTGGCCCTGCTAACTAAAAGGCCAGTGGTTTGAATCCCCTGGGGGCTCCGCAGGATGAAGGCAGGCAGCCTCCCCCAGCAAGCACTCCAAGTCTCAGAAAGCTGATGGAGGGTCGCTGTGCGTCGGGGCCTACTGGCCGCAGTGGGTGGACACCGGACCGTGAACAAGAGAAGATTGCAGAAGGTCCCTGCTGAGGGGCCACCAGAGCGCGTAGCACCAGAGTTGCCCGTCTTCCTTAGAAACAAGCTGCTGCTTACCTGTGCTGCTTGAAACTTTGAGTCTGACACTTTGGCAAAACGCAGGGAATCAGTTTTCAATCGATACTTAGATGGAAAGTATAAAGGCTGCCAAAGTCGGCTCACTCCAGCACCAGTACGGCGTCACATCGCTCACACCCAGAGGGGCCTGGAGAGGCTCAAAGGCAAACTCTGCTGGCACGGCGCATTATGCCATCAGGGTGCTAACTCATTCGGTGGTTCGAACCCACCAGCGGGTTCTCCGGAGACAGATGGGCAGTTCCTCTTACAAACACGTACAGCCTCAGAAATCCCATGGAAGGCCACGCTGAGTCCAAAGTTGTGGGGTTGGTGAAAACCAAGACAGTCACAAGAACAGGTCTCTTGAGCAGCGAGACCCTGTTATCTGCTTGGAGAAGATGCAAAAAGATCCTTCCCGTCACAAGGCACAGAATGCTCCTGTCTGAACCAGGGTGAGCTCCGCCGTTCCCAGCACCCAGGGCTGCGGCGCCACATCTGATTCCAGGTCCAGACCCGCACTCAGTGCTCAGCACTGTGGGCACCATGGCCAGCTCTAGGCCCGGACCCTCACCCAGTGCTCAGCGTGGTGGACACCACGGCCAGCTCTAGGCCTGGACCCTCACCCAGTGCTCAGCGTGGTGGGCACCACTGCCAGCTCTAGGCCTGGACCCTCACCCAGTGCTCAGCATTGTGGCGCCACGTCTAGTTCTAGGCCTGGACTCACCTAGCGCCTGGACCCTCACCCAGTGCTCAGCGTGGTGGACACCATGTCCAGCCTATCTAGGCCTGGACCCTCACCCAGTGCTCAGCATTGTGGCGCCACGTCTAGTTCTAGGCCTGGACTCACCTAGCGCCTGGACCCTCACCCAGAGCTGTGGCTTCAGGCCTGGACCCTCACCCGGCACCTGGACCCTCCTCACCCACGGCTGCGGCACCACGTCTGTCTCCAAGCCTGGGCTCTCACTCTGCTGCACTAAGACCTCCAAAGTCAAGTGTTTGAAGCGCACAGGAAGCTTTCTGACTGGTTCAAAGTCTCTCATTCACCAAGGCTGCCCCATCGTGCTACTTAAGTCAAAGAGCCAGACTCTACCACAGTACACCCTGGGCCAGTCCTGGGGCCTGCAGCATTACCAACAGACCCCCGTGGAGACCTGGCTGTGAAAAGCTAACACAAGACAGGGTGATGGTTGGGAGAGCATCCAGGACTCTGAGGGAATACACGGCTTTTTAAACAGGGAAAGAAAAACTAACCAGAACCGAATGAAATGTTATCACCCAACAACTTTTCACTCAGTTGAAAACCCTTTATGATGGCAATTATAAGCATCTTTCATGAATATAAATAAACTTATAAAAACAACTGCTGGTGTGTACCGTAGTTGGCACTGACCCATAGCTGACCCTGCAGGGGGTTTTCAGAGGCAGTTAATCACAGGAGAGGAGACTGCCCATTCTCCAGTTCGTGGTCTCGAACCTCATGCCTTTGGAACTGCAGTGCAGCTCCTTGCCACTCGACAATACTGATCACTTTCATTCTAAGTAAGAGCCTTGGTAAGGCATTCTGATGGCCTCGTGGGGAAGGAGTTGTGCTGCGGAGCCAAAGGCAGGGGCTTGGAATCCACTGGTGTCTCTGGGAGAGAAGGATGGGGAGCCCCTCCCACAAGAGTTACAGCCTCTGACAACCTGCTGCAGGGTCAGAGTCCACTCCAAGTAGAAGGCACTGAGTTTGAGTTTTTGATGGCACTGTGCTAAGTGCTAAGCGGACAGATTAGCAGTTCGAAACTACCATCTGTTCCATGAGAAGAAGAGGGGTAGTTACCTCTACAAAGATTTACAGCCCCAGAGTCTGATGGAGGGCCACTGTGGGGTGGAGGTGATGTGAAGGGAATGGGAGTGTCTGATGGAGGGCCACTCAGGGCTGGAGCTGACTTGGAGGCAGTGGGACGATGGGGGGAATGGTATTTAAGACCCCCTTCGTTTGGTTCAGGGTCAGATCCCAGGAAGGGTCTGAGTACAATTTGCCCAAGGAGATTAATAGGGCCTCACAGGTGAGGGACAGTACCATTCACAGGCTTGTTCTGCATTTCAAAAGCCTAGTTATTTTTTATTGGTATCTTACCAACTACATGTGTAAAAGAGTATTTTTTTTTTTAATTTTAAAATTACTTAGAAATAACCCTTGTGTGGAGAAGAAGAAAACACAAAACCACTCATGGTGAAATGTGTCCTGGACACTTCATGTTCCAAGTGTGTCCGGTGATGACAGAAAGCGCCGGGGCAGAAGGAGAGGCGGGAGATGGGGGTGGAGGGTCCCTCACTGTGAAGTTCTAACTACCAAGTTACCTTGTGAGCGCCAATAATGTCGGGGAAGCAGCCCAGGAAACCTTTATATTCATGATTGCATTCCATTAGGAAGTGGAGATCTTTCTTTGGCTGAAATGAGAGATAGGTTGGTTGTCAATCACAGAAAAATTAAGAAAAACCAAAGGAAAAATGATTATATGAGGACTAAACTGTGGTGCTGGAGAAGAGTCTTGAATGTACCCTGAGTGGCCAAGAAAACAAATAGGTCTGTCTTTGAGAGGATGAAACCATGTTTCTCCTTGGAGGCTAGGAGTCTGAAGCTCCATCTCACATACTTGGGGCATGTGGCCAGGAGAGATCGATCCTTAAAGAAGGACATCATGCTTGGAAAGGTGGAGGGACAGTGCAAAAGAAGAACCCAGATGAGATGGTGTAATAGTTAACTGGGGCAATGAGGTAAGTGTGTCTGAGACAGGGAGACTGCCTCAGGACAGGGCTGTTGCTATGAGTCGCAGGCAATTCGACAGCACATAATCACCACCACCACCACCACCACCACCACCATGTACTATATCCAATTACTGAGTTTTCAACATTCAGTTTAGTTTTCCTGAAAGAAAAGCATCTCCAAATGACTACAAATTTAGTGCTCACCAACTGTCCCGTCTTGTATTTATACTAGATTGTCAGTACTAGAAACTCTGCTATCTGTCGACTGTGTGCATTTATGATGAGCACCTGGCATCAGCAGATGCAGAGTTCAAGGTGAGGGGACGCTGCTGTGAGCAAGGTGACGGGACGCTGCTGTGACGGTGGCAGCCCCGTGGCTCAGGGGCTCGGCAGTGACAGAAGGGTGAAGTGTGCGGTTAGGCTGTGATGTCACCATCCTCCATTTGTGACGTGACAGCGTTAGCCTGCATTTTCACAGAATGCGTATTTTCACACCGTGACTTGGACTTTGGGACCTAACAGTGACAACTGAGCACGGGGTGTGTGCAAAGGAAATGAGAAAACAGCATCAAGTGTTAATTAAGTTGGTAAGTCAGATTAGTTATTTTGATATGGCCCAAAACACAGTATTTTGTTGTTGTTACGTGCCATCAAGTCTCAGGCGACTCATAGAGACCCTATGAAGGAGAGACCTCAACGCTTGTGTGTCTCTCTCATCCTTTGTCCAGGTTCATAGGGTTTCCGGAGGCAAGCTATTACAGAAGTGGATGCTACTCCTCCTTCCAAGCTTGTTTTAATCGGGGAGCTCCACCCCACACTGTCCCCATTGGGTAACCAGCCATTAACGCATCTGACACATCAGTGTCACAGTGTTTAGCCTCACAGCAACAAGTTACCACTGTATGGCAAGTAGACACACCAGGACAAGGGGGAAAAAAACCCAAGCCCCTTATTTACTACTCCTAGTTTACAAATAAAGTCAATGTAGTTCAATGGATAAATTCAGCAAAGAAAAGTAAAAAAAAAAATAATGTAGTACTTATTTTAACTGGCAACTTTAAAATTCTCCAACCTTTCTGAATTTTTTAAATATTTGTTACAGCCATGTTCTTGAACTATCTCCATGATTTTATCTGTTTGTGGTACCAATGCTTTGCCTTTTAATGTTCACATTCTGTTGGAACATTTTTCTTTGCAGCAGCAGAAGTACAGATCTCTTTCAATTGGTAGGCCAGATAGCTAGCAGGTAGCTGACTTCTAAATTCCTTAGCATCAATGTGTGATCACATCCAGAACTGGCATTCCTGTTCCTGGAGCCTTGAATCTTGTTAATGCCTTCAGCGCTGCCTGGACGTCTTACTTCAGCATCACTGGTACTCAACCCTCCTGAAACGGCCGAGCATCACTTGCTTCTTTTTGGTACAGGGGCTCGCGCATTCCTCTCATCCCCTTCCAACGCTTCCTGTGTCACCCACCATGGCTCCTCTGTTGGTGGCTTGTGTTACTGTGATGCTGCAAGCTTTGAAACACGTCTTCCGAAGGACACACTCTACTCCTGGCTCTTCGTTCTTGGGGCATCTCTCTCCTTTTAAAAATCCCCCCTCCATCAGACCAGGGCTGTGACCAGAGTGAGGGTGCAGCATCCTACCCTAACTTTGTGTCATTGTTCTTTTTTAGTTTTTTTTGCTTTTCTCCCCCCTTTCTTGTTGTGTACCATCAAATCGGATCCAAGTGGCACAGGTGGAGATTGCCCCTCCTCCAGTGGAGCATCTGGTGGATTCGAACCATGTACCTTAGGGCTTGCAGCGCAGCTTCTTGCCATTAGGCCACCAGAGCTCCCTTGTGTCATTGCTCTTGTTATGTGCCGTCAAGCTGACTGCAACCCATAGTGAGTCTATGCATAATAGCTGTGAATCTGCTCTATCCCGAGCCAATCTCACTGTCTCTCATTACCTCCTTACCTCAGTTACTGTGTCAATCCATCTCATCTGGGGTCTTCCCCTCCTGAGCTGTCCTTCCACTCTTCCAAGCATCATGTCCTCCAATAACAGGTCCCTCCTCACTACATGTCCAAAGTATGTGAGATAGAGTCTCATAATCCTTGCCTTCAAGCAGGAGCCTTGTTTCACCCTCTCTAGGACAGATCTCTTAGTTCTTTTGGCAGTCCATGGGATGTTCAATACTCTTCTCCAGCACCACAACTCAAAGGCATCAATTCTTCTGTCATCTTTGGTCACTGTCCAGCTTTCTGATGCATAGCAAGTAATTGTGAAGACCATGGCCTGGATCAGGCACACCTTAGTCTCTAGAGTGACATCCTTGCTCTTCAACACTCTGGAGAGGTCTCTAAGAGGGGCTTTTCCTAATGCAATTAGATGGTGAAGAGATTGAGATTTATTAACAGTTTCAACATGCTCAGTTGTACAGTCAACACTCTTGGAACCAGCAGTCAGGAAATCAAAAGACTATCATGGAGCTGATAATTGGCCCAGTGGTGAGAATCTTCATTTTCTTGCTGTTGAGTTTCAATCTATATTGCAAACTATAGTCTTTGACCCTCTGCAGTAAATGTTTCAGGCCTTCCTTAGTTTCATCAAGTAAGGTTGTGTCATTCCCATAACCATGTTGTTGATGAGTCTTCCTCCAATTCCAATGCCACATTTCACCTCATAAAGTCCAGGGTCCTGAATAATCTGTTCTGCATACAGACTGAAAAGGTATGGAGACAGGATACATCCATGACACAGTCCTTTTCTGATTCTGAACCAAGTAATGTTTCCTTGCTCTGTTCTGATGACTGCCTCCTGGTCCAAGTATAGGTTTTGCATAAGCACAATCAAGTGTTCTGGGATTCCCATTCTTCTCAAGGTTAGCCACAGTTTCTTGTGGTCCACACAGTCAAATGTCTTTGCATAGTCAATGAAACATAGACCGACATTCCTCTGGTACTCTCTGCTTTTGGTGAACAGCCATTGGACATTAGCAATGACATCCCTAGTGCCACGGTCTCTTCTAAACTCACCTTGTATTTATCAAAACCTAAACATGCCTCAGAGAGGTCAAGATGCATAAAACATGGTGTGTCATTGTAATTGTGTCAGATCACAAAACGAGGGGCAATCCTGACAACATAGCCTAGCTTAGCCAAGGTGACACATATTTCGGGGGCTAACACTGCAATCTGTGACAGTGGCTAAAACAGGAAAAAGGGTATCATTATTGGATTTTACTCATTCAGATTTCTTTTTTCAATTATTTAATTATTTGTGTGTGTACCGTCAAATCGGATCTGACTGGTCTGGTACAGGAGGAGATTGGTCCTCCTTTCTGGCAGAGCGTCTGGTGGATTCAAACCCCGCATCTCTGGGATTGCAGTGCAGCTTCTTGCCACTAGGCTACCAGAGCTTGCCTCATTCAGATTTCTTAAGGACATATTATCTATCCTCTGTAGCTTAGCCTATGAAACACTATCAAACACTGTTAACAAAGATACACAGGAATGGGTCTCTACTGTAAATGGATACAAAGTTTTTCTTATGTTTTAAACAAGCTGTGTAGATGAGAGGACACAGGATCTTATCCTCAACTGCGATTTAAGCTCATGGTACCTGCTCAGCCACGAGACTGGCGATTTCTTCATAGGTCTTTCCTGCTTCTGTTATCGCATCATTGAGCTCTGTTTCACCTGAAAAGGAGACACTTTTATCACGGTTTGAAGTTCTCATACATATTTTCTTTTCACTTGTTTAATGTGACATTTTTACAAGAGAAGATGTCAAGCATTTTAAACAGCAGCATGGTATAAGGAATCCCCATCCACCTCTCACCAGCTTCACAAGACACAGCTCAAGGCTATTTCTCCAGCAAGGCTCTCCAATCCCTGCTGCCAAATCCCTAGACCGATGACAATTCAGCCCTAAATATCTGTCCTTGTAAGGACTCTGAAATCAGGACACCACTATTATCCCCTCCAAGACACGCGTTCCTTCAAGCAGGTTAGGGAGCAGTCTTCTCGCAAGGAGGTTCCTGCACTGGGTGTAAAGACACGCCCCACAGCACAAGGCTCGGTCCTTCAGTGCTGCCCTAACGCAAACAGCTCAAGGAGGGGATCTGCTGAACAGAAATTTGTTTTCTCCCACTTTAGGAGGCTAGAAGCCCAATTTCAGGGGGCTAGCCCTATGCCCAGAGAACTTCCTGGAGGATGTGAAACCAGGGTGCACCGTGGAGGCAAGGGTGGTGAAGCTGTCTCACATATATTGGGGAAGCTGTCAGGAGGGGCTGGTCCTGAGAGGACATCACGCTTGGAAAGGTGAAGGGCCTGCTTTGAGAGAGGAAGACCCTCAACTAGATCGATGGACAGTGACTCTAACAATGTGCCCCAGTGTGTCAGAGACAGGACAGGACAGTGTTCACAGTGTGTCGGAGACGGTGAGGACAGCACAGTACTGGACAGGGTCCAGAGTGAGTCAGAGAGGATGAGGACAGGACAGCGTCCACAATGTGTCGGAGACGGTGAAGACAGGGCAGGACACAGGACGGGGCCACAGCCGTTGTTCACAGGGTTGCCAGCAGCCTTGCAAGCTGACTTGACGGCACGTAACAGCAACAGCCCTACGGAAGCCTCTCTGGCCCTTCGGGGAGAATCCTCGTTTCACCCCAATGCCTGTCTTCTGGATGCTCTGGTGGTCTGGCTGGTAGGCAGACATGCTAACTGAAGGCCATCACCTTCCAGTGGTTCCTCAGAAGGACAGACAGTGTCCTCTCACACGACTGCCCTCGAAGAAACCCTGCGTGGGGTCACGGGGGTCAGAACAGAGGCAGTGGCGGGGAGGGCAAGCGTTCCCACATCTACGTCTGTGCCCACATCTACGTCTGTGTCCACATCTATGTCTGTCTGTCCCCACATCTACGTCTGTGCCCACATCAACGTCTGTGCCCATATCTATGTCTGTGCCCACGTCTACGTCTGTCCCCACGTCTATGTCTGTGCCCATATCAATGTCTGTCTGTCCCCACATCTACGTCTGTCCCCACGTCTACGTCTGTCCCCACATCTATGTCTGTGCCCACATCTATGTGCCCACATCAACGTCTGTGCCCACGTCTACGTCTGTGCCCACGTCTACGTCTGTGCCCACGTCTACGTCTGTGCCCACATCTACGTCTGTGCCCACATCTATGTCTGTCTGTCCCCACATCTATATCTGTCCCCACGTCTATGTCTGTCGGTCCCCACATCTATGTCTATGCCCACATCAACGTCTGTGCCCATATCTATGTCTGTGCCCACGTCTACGTCTGTTCCCACGTCTATGTCTGTGCCCACATCTATGTCTGTCCCCACATCTATGTCTGTGCCCACATCTACATCTGTCTGTGCCCAAGTCTACATCTGTGCCCACGTCTACGTCTGTGCCCATGTCTACGTCTGTCCCCACGTCTACGTCTGTGCCCACGTCTACGTCTGTGCCCACGTCTACGTCTGTGCCCACGCCTACGTCTGTCCCCATGTCTATGTCTGTCCCCACATCTATGTCTGTGCCCACGTCTACGTCTGTCCCCACAGCTACGTCTGTCCCCACATCTATGTCTGTGCCTAACTGGTTCTTTCCACTTAGAAGTGGCTGAGTTTACAACACACAGTAAAGGCCTCGCTAACATTACAGCGAAAACTCTATTCATCAAGGGAACGACATCACAGGCTAGGAATCTGACTCATCTTGAGGGGCTGGGGAACATCACTCAATCCACAACAGAGCTGATGTGATTTTAAATCTACAGGATCCCCTCACCTCCCTGTTTTATGAATTTAAGAGGAGCCCTGGTAGTGAAGCTACGGCTGTGAACAGAAAGGTCAGGGGTTTGAAGCCCCAGCCACGACAGCAGCAGTGGGGACCCTCTGGGGCACGTGCCCTTTGTCACACGGGGCTGCTACGAGTCAGAATCCATTTGAGGCAGTGGGTATGAATTTGGGGCTTTTTTTATTATGTCCCCCAAGAGTACAACCTCCGTGCCTGTGAACGTAACCTTCTTTGGAAATGCTGCTGTTAGGTGCAACTGAGTCAATGTGACTTCCAGTGACCCTGTAAACAACATACTGAAGCTCTGCCCTGTCCACACCACCCTCATGGGCTCTGCCAGCCTCAGTCCCTCCGCTGCTGTCACTGTGCAAACAGGAATAGTTTACGATATTAACGACATCACCTTGGAGTTAAAAGACGTATTGCGATGTGAAAGTCTGCTGTTAGGGACCTTTCCAAAGAGCAATGGTCTCACTCTGGAGACTAAGGTGCATCTGATACAGGCTATGGTCTTTGCAGTCACTTGTTATGTTCAGAGAATTGGACAATGACTAGGGAGGATAGAAGGAGAATTGACGCCTTTGAGCTGTGGTGCTGGAGAAGAGTATTGAGAATACCATGGACTGCTAGGAAAACAAACAGATTTGTCCTGGAAAGGGTTAAACCGGGTGGCTCCTTGGAGGCAAGGATTCTGAGGCTCCGTCTAATATACTTTGGACATTGTGAGGAGAGACCGGTCCTTGGAGAGGGACATCATGCTTGGGAGGGTGGAGGGACTGCACAGGAGGGGAAGACCCTCTATGAGGTGGATTGATTCAGTGACTGGGATAGGTGGTAATCGGGATGGGTGTGTTGGAGGCAATGTGACTGGCAAAAGATAGAGCAGGGGTTAGGGCTGTTGTACACAGGGTCCCTATGAGTCGCAAGTGACTCAACGGCACATAACAACAACCCTAATGTCTTCAGAGCAGCGTCTTACAGAGCAGAGTGTGGCTCAGAGGTGACGAGGCCATGAGAAGATCCTGGAACAGGCATGTAACACTCAGAGACGCCTGCAGCTGCCAGTCTTGAGAGAACTTTCTGGAGTGGACGAAGCAGAACCCCACGAGTCCTGGTCCCCAAAACTGTTTGCTCGAGCCAATGGTTTACTGTGTCTTTGTTACAGCAGCACTGAGAACCAGCTGTGGAAAAGGTGTCCAGGTCCCCACACTTGGGGTAACGGTTAATGCGCCCCTCTGACCCTGGTCTCACATTAGCAATCAGACCCAGAAGCTTGCTCAATGCCGCGTTGCCTGTTTGCTGGGAGGCTGAAGCCGTCGAGGTCACCGCCAGCATCCTTTAATCTAGTGGAGTCTGCACACAGCCCTGTCCCACTTTCATCATCCTTTATCAGCCAACGGATTTCTGCACAGAGAATCTTCCTTCTGTCAACATTGTGGCCACCCTGGAGTAGGACTGGCACAGGACAGCCAGGCTAAAGCTTTTCTGAGCCCTCCTGTAGCCACCCTTCTGAAATCTTCTGGGGACATTTCTCTTTCCCACAAGTTTCCTTCTGTGCCCAATCTGGAGCTTACAGCACGTACAGCTACATGCATTTTTCACTTGACCTAACTCTGTCCCTTCAAACAACCTTGGCCAACAATGGGCTTCACAACAGCAAGATTTTACTCTACAGAATTTAACAGAGAGATGAAAGCAAACAGAGAACAAAGGGCACTACAGCTAGTGCTACAGTAAAACAAATCCAAGGGATCGGAAAGCAAAGAAAGGCAGGTAAATATGCGAGAAAACACAAACCACAACACTGCTCTGCTTTTCTCCAAGGTGATGAGGGGAAGTTACAACGGTCAGGATGCAGCATTCTGGACACCCTTATGCCAGCGTGGGGCGGGCCAGCGTGGGGCGGCCCAGTGTGGGGTCAGCGCTGGTCTGCAGGGCCTGAGGGACATGGGAGGTGCAACCAGGACTCGCGAGCACAGTGGACGGGGGAGCGGGGACTTACCTTGGTAGCCGCTCGAGCTGAACACGGTGGCCAGGCTCTGCAGGGCCCTGCCTATCTTCTGGTACTCCTTGGGTAATGCTGCAAGACAGAGGAGGGGACTGTCACCATCCAAGCCAATGGACGTGGGAGTCGCGGCTTCTGAATGTGACCGCCTTCATAATCAAAACATCTGAAGGGACTCAGGACCTGTGTTCTTCAGGGAAATAGTGATGTCAAAACAACTTCTTCACACATTAAGGGTCAGTGAAGGGTGGGAGCCATTGCTCAGAAGCCCACACACTTCATCCAGCAGAAGAAACGTGCAAACGGAAACTGAGCTAGAAGCTGAGCAAAGGTGGACAATGCACCTTCACACCTCATCTACCTGGCTGTCCTCCCACCAGGCGACACCCCACTTCATGCCTCATCTACCTGACTGTCCTCCCACCAGGCGACACCCCACTTCACACCTCATCTACCTGACTGTCCTCCTCCCACCAGGCAACAACCCACTTTCATTTTATGGAGCAGAAAATAAGACTCATTGAAGTCAAGTGCAATTCTCAAGGTGACCTGACTAAGGAGTGGAGGAACTGGTGCTGTCACCCCAAAGACACTGCCTCCCCCGCTGCGTCTTGTATGCACCTGTGAGTGATTATTAAGAGAGGACAGGGACAGAGGGACAGCGCGGCTGGATGGACAAAGACAAGGGAGGGGAGGGGCCCAGGGAGGGGCCGCGCTGTCTCATCTGTACGAGAAGTGGGTCCTCTCTAAGGTTCCTTCCTGAGTGAAAATTCTGGTTCGAGGGTTAATTTGAAGAGTGGCTGCTTTTGAACCTTTTCCAGATCCTAATAGCTGGGCATTAGGGAGCTGTGGTGATGTAGTGCTAAGATGCTGTGCTACAATCCCCAAAGCCCGTGGTTCAAATCCACCAGATGCTCTGCGGGAGAAGGCTGGCCAGTCCCCTCCTGCACAATTCACTGCCTTTGAAAACCGGCTGGAGGGCTCGTTATGAGTCAGTTCCGATTTGATGGCACAGAGCAATGGCCAGGCACTAGATGACTGGATGGAATTGTTTCTGGAAGCCTGCTTCTTAGAACTTGTAGAAATTTTTAAGTGTTCCATATAACCTTCACACAGCCAGGTTTACAGACCAGTGCAGTGGAGCTCAGAGGGAGCGAAGGCTTTGCTTTCTGGAGTGTTTACAAGCCAGAGACATCGAACAGGGCAAAACTGAGTGTTACTCTACAAAAATGTTCTTAAGTTCCAGAGAAGGAATTTTAGTTCAATTAATCATAATTAACAGCTGAAATAAACTGTTTACACCACTAGATCTTAGTTTTTGCTCCCAGATCTGGAATGAAAATTATAACCTGTGGGCCTCGCCATACAGAACATACTAGAGTTGTTGTTTTTTTTCGTTGTTGTTGTTGTTTTTGAATTTTTATTGTTGTCTTTTTTTAAAATGTGTGTACCATCAAATTGGATCTGACTGGTACAGGAGGCGATTGTTCCACCCTCTTCAGCAGAGCATCTGATGGATTTGAACCACGCACCTCTGGGATTGCAGTGCAGTTTCCGGCCACTAGGCCACCAGAGCTCGCCATACTAGAGTTTTTAACAATTTTTTTGAGAGAATGGAAGAAGGGAAATACGTCTGAATTGAATCCCGAGAAGGACAGTCTTAAGCCAAAGTTCTCTAAGTTCAATCACAGCGATCACATGGAAAGTACAGCCGATGGGACCTAGACACAGGGGATTTAAGTCTTTGAAAGAAATTGTAAGCTTTAGATTTTCATAATACCTTCAAGAGATGTGACTATAATGTTTACTCATACAAAAAATGTCTTAAAGAAAAAAAGCAGCAGCAATCCTCAGACAACAGTAATATTCCCGTATTGTGTCTCAACAGAAGGCCAGGTGCTCTCAGCGATGGGTGGGCAGCCCCCCATGGGGAGGCATCTTCTTACTGGGACATGAGAGCCTGCGTTCCCAGTGAGGGCTGGATGATGTCCTGGGAGGAAAACCCTGAGGGGATAAACCCAGCACTTCGGTGACACGGCGAGGCCTCTGTGGTCACCTCAGTGACACAGCTGGTTCCTGCAGTCACCTGGGCTGGGAGGGCACAGGGAACAGGCTCTGCTGTTACTGCACCAGGGCTCTCTACCTGGGCCATCTGGCACCGGGGCTGACCAGGGTAAATGGCTGAGCAGGTGCCCGTCTACACTGCAGAAGAAGCGCAAGTAAAGCCAAGCCTCAAGGATCTCCCCAAGCAGGAGGCACAGCATGGCAGGCCTGCCTCACCCAGCAGGTGGCACAGTCTGACCTCTTTATACACTTGCTGCCGTCAACTGTGGATTTCCCTTTAAATAATACTATCGTGAAATCCGTATCTTCTCAAAGGAGTGAAGATTAAAACCCAAAATCATGGTGTTAAACCGGAAGCAGTGATTCCACCTGCACAGATGCCAAGACCCGGATGGGAGGCACTGACTGAGGTGTGGTCAGCTGGGTTCTTAGTGCGGATTTCCTGTCACTTGTCTGAGGCTGGAGGAGACCACGGTCGGTACCCGGGACCTTGGGGTGGCACGGGGATCACTCACGTCCTGTGCAGCGCTTCCAGTGCTCGTGGCCAACGGTCAGCAGCTCCTTCACACCGTCGTCCATGGCTTTGGTGAACTTGCCCACGGCGTCACACTTCTGCTCTCTGTGGGCACACACAGCCTGTCAAGCACTTGGACCCCACAGTGGGGCTGTCACCCCAGGACGAGCGTGGCTGGCAGACTCATCCTCCAATCCCTGAAGGCCTTTGTTCCCTGTGCTCTAATGACCACCCTCCCACCACACTGGTCCTAAGAGTGGACTCGATCCGGAGTCTCGGGACAAGGTGGAGGGCCGACACCCATGCTTTAACTAGGCTTCCTCTTCAGTTCTTTGTGGGTTCTCACTAAAAATTTTCTAAAGCAAATAAAAGCACATTTAGTGACCTGCTTATCTGGGAACATTCTGGTCGCTGGCGGAACCCTCACGTTGTGGCTATGGAGCAGTAACAGGGTTGTTCACAGTAGCTGGTCACGCATTCCAACAAGCCTTTTTAGAAACACAGCTCAGAACCTGGATACACTCACTGAGTTGGCATGGATGGAATCAACTTTAAAGATGCAGAAGTCCACTGACCACCAAGAAAAGACCACCGCAGTAGCAGGCGGCACACAAAAGGCATAAGGGACACGGCGCGGTGGGGACACTTGTGTTTAAACAAGCAAGTGTCCCTGTGGGCACATACAGGGCGGGCTGGGAAGACTGTACAAAGTACCCACACACTGATTTGCTTTGCATTCTGGGTTGTGGGAGGGAGGGAGAGAGGGAGAGAG